TTCAGTCATTTCAGTCGAAATTACCGAAAATTATTTTCGACGTACCGTTTACGTTCGGAATAATTTTGGTAATTAAGCATTATATTTAATTAGATAATTAAATCTAAGAAAGTGATTAATTAACAATTAATCATCAAATTAAGTCTTAAGCCATTCAAGTCACTCTTAATGCATGAGAAAACCGTACCATATGTATATGCTTCCAATTAATGTCCAAATTTTCCTAAGTATTAAGGAAAGATTTTTCCTTCCAAAATTAACTTCACACGTGGCATTATGAGGAGAATTAGATGAGTATTAGTCATGCTAAGGCATTCCAATTAACAACAAGTGTTGGGCACACAATAAGGCCACGTTAAGCCTACATTATCACTACCCATGCAACCTCTATTCGGCCTCTATATATAAGGAAGATGTTTGGAGAATTTGTCCCAAAAATTCCAGCCATATATTCGTATTTTTAGCCCCTATATTCAGCAGCTAAGAGACCAACCTATTTCTACACGCACGGTTAGAAGAGGCGACAAGTAATAGCATCACACGGCAATAGATTATCGCACCCGGCACGCACCACGCAAGGTTTCGAGCGATTTTGATATTCCGGCGAGTATTTAAGAAGGTAAAGCCGTCCTCGACTTATGTTTATGGCCGTAAGTTCAGTTTAGGTCAAAGTGTTCGAATCACGTTCGAAAATTTTTAGTAAGGTCGTATTAAAATTCGATTAGGCCTAAGTTAAATCGTGATCGAATAACGTTTCGTTTTACCCGGCAACTCTCGAACTATTTATGTTTAATTGTTCAGTTAACATCATGTTAAATTCAGTTACTTAAGGTTGGTCGAGGAAAAATGTTGTTTTATCCGGAAAATGGCCCATAGCCGTCGGCAGCGCTCGCTGCGCACGCCGCGAGCCTTACTATGGCACGTTATGTTAATTTCGGTTGGTCAAGTTTATCAGTACATTTACGTCCAAATAGTTCTTAAATGATGTTTCATGTTGAAGTGGTCTTGAGTTGCCGAGGGTTAAGTTAAGTCGGTCAGAAGACGGCGTATTGCCGTCGGCGGCGCACGGCGCGCTCGCCACGGCCCCTTTCATGTTGATCGTGCGAAAAGTGCTAATTTCAAGTTATTTTCATGAAC